AAAAAGGGAAAGGGTATACTATTGGAAGGAGAAACCGATAAGTTAAAAACAAGAACACAGGAGGAGAGGGGAGAAAGGGAGTTATAACGTACAGTAGGTCAGAGAAAAAGAAAAAGGAAGGAGATGGTCAATTTTATATTTTTCAAAATACACGGAAAGAGGAACAAAATGGGTAGTGAACTATTAGGTAAAATATTCTAGCAACAAGTTGTAAGAACAAAATTTAAAAGACCCCACCACCACATGGTGGGGGGGGGGAGAGGGGGTCACCTTCGGATAGCCGCAAGTGGGGCACCCCGCGTTCTTGCCGTACTTGGAGTTGATGAGCGCAAGCTGGAACTCCTGAAAGAAGGCTTGCGTCGTGCCCTCCTGCGGGTTGATGCCCATGACGTTGCCGCTGCAGGACGCGAGGGTGGCGGATGATGGTAGTGCGGAAGTGCGGCGGGTAGTGGAGGGGGTGCGTGTGCGCGCCCGATGGAGGGGTCCGGGTAGAGAGGGTCGAGGCTGAAGTCCTGAAAAGTCCGAGGGTGGGGGTGAGTGCGGGGGTGGTGCAGGGGGCTGCGAGGGAGGGTGGCGGCGGCGTGCTGGGGGGTGGCGAGGGTGGCGGCCTCGAAGGCGGCGGCCATCTCGGTCATGTTCTTCGTCTCGTATGGGATGCCCGCCGCGGAGAGCGCGCCCTTGATGCGCTCGACGCGCTCCGGCCATTTCCACGCCGAAAGGCCGCCGTACGACGCGGGAACCGATCCGGGCGCGTAGCCCCACGAGCCGGTCTCGTTGTTGTACGCCCAAGCGAAATCGCCCTCGACGATGAGCACCTTGATCGTGGAGAGGTCCATCTGAGCCGGATTCTTCATCTCAATCGCCACGGTATCGCCGTCGAGCGGGTCGATGCCCGTGCGCATGTAGTTGTAGAGCAACGAGAAGTCCTTCAGGTGGCGGGTGTGGAATCCGATGTGATCTGTCTCCGAGGAGAGCAGGCCGGCGCCGCCGCGCGAAGTGCCGCCGTAGCTCGGGATGTGGCCAGAGATCAGGTTGCGCCTGCAGCACACGCGGCGCGCGCCAGTGAGCGACAAACGGGAAGGGGCCTGCGGTCCTAGCGAAGCAAGCGCACGCGGAGGGCGAGGCGATGGAGCCCCAAGTCTCCTCGGAGACAGCGAACGGGAGCGCGCCGACGGAGACTGCCGATCCGGAGCCGGTGGAAGAGCCGTCCGAGTCGGCCATGAGGGTGGGCGACATCGTCTGGCCCCAGCCATGCACGGGGTCCCAAGCGAGCGAGCCCTAC